TAACATAATTCAACAAGCTAGAAAAAAAATCATAGGATCATATCAATAGATGCAAAAACAGCAAGTAACAAAATCCAGGAGCCATTCAACGTAAAAACCTCAGTGAACTAGGCATAAAGGGAATACATCGTCAGTTTAATAAAGAACATCTACAAATAACCCATAGCTAACATTGTACTTCACGGTGAGACAATAGACGGCTTCCTACTAAGATCAAGAATAAGACAGTAAGGTAGATAGCTAGTGGGAAGTAGCCACATGGCACAGGGATATCGGCTCGGTGCTTTGTAACCGCCTGGAGGGGTGGGATAGGGAGGGTGGGAGGGCGGGAGACGCAAGAGGGAAGAGATATGGGAACATATGTGTATGTATAACTGATTCAGTTTGTTATAAAGCAGACACTAACACACCATTGTAAAGCAATTATACCCCAATAAAGATGTTAAAAAAAAAAGAATAAGACAATGATGTCACCTCTCATCATTCCTATTCAACATCATATTAGAAGTCCTAGCTAATACAATAAGGCAAGAAGAGAAAATAGAAGCTATACAAGAAGAAATTTTTTAAAAAGACAGCTGTATTTTTCACAGATGACATTACTGTCTATGAAGAAAATCTCAAAGAATCAAAAAAAACTGCTAAAATAAGTGATTATAGCAAGGTTGCAGATTACAACGTTAATATACAAAAGTCAATTGTTTTCTTACATATTAGTAATGAGTAATTGGTATTTGAAATTAAAATCACAATACCATTTACATTAACACGAAAAAAATGAAATATTCAGGTATAAACTGCACAAAATATGTATAAGATCTATAAGAATAAAACTGCAAAACTCTGATGAAGACATCAAGGAATATCTAAATAAATGGAGAGATATTCCATGTACATGGACAGGAAGATTCAATATTGTCAAAATATCACCTCCTCCTAACTTGATAGATTTCAATACAATCTCAATCAAAATTCCAGAATGTTACTTTGTAGATATTTACAGATTGATTTTAGAATTTATATAAAGAGGCAAAAGACCCAGAACAGCCAACATGATATTGAAGGAAAAGAACGAAATTGGAAGATTGACACTACTAGACCTCAAGACTTACTATAAAGCTCCAATAATCAAGACAGTGTGGGACTTCCCTGGTGGCGCAGTGGTTAAGAATCCACCTGCCAATGAAGGGGACACAGGTTCGAGCCCTGGTCCGGGAAGATGCCACATGCCATGGAGCAACTAAGCCAGTGCACCACAACTACTCAGCCTGCACTCTAGAGCTCGCGAGCCACAACTACTGAGCCTGCGTGCTACAACTACTGAAGCCTGCATGCCTAGAGCCCGTGCTCTGCAACAAGAAAAGCCACTGCAGTGAGAAGCCCACACACCTCAATGAAGAGTAGCCCCTGCTTGCTGCAACTAGAGAAAGCCCATGTGCAGCAAAGAAGACCCAATGCAGCCAAAAATAAATAAATGAAAAATAAATAAATTTTAAAAAAAGACAGTATGGTATTTGTGAAAGAACTGACCAATAGATCAATGAAGCAGAATGGTGAGCCCAGAAATAGACTTACACAAGTACAGTTAACTGATCTTTAACATGGAATAAGGGTAATTCAATGTAGATAGTCTTTTCAAAAAATGATGCTGAAACAGATGGATATCTACATGTAAAAAAAAATTTAAATAAATCTAGACACAGATCTTATACCCTCACAAATATTAACTCAAAATGGAGCATAGATCTAAATGTAAAACACAAAATAATCAAACAGCTAGAAGAATAAGAGAAAATATTAGTGATTCTGGGTTTCGCAATATTTTTAGATATAACACCGAAAGCACAACTGCATGGAAAAAAATTGATAAGTTGAACTTGATTAAAATTAAAAACTTCTGCTCTATGACACTGTTAAGAAAATCAAAAGACAAGCCAAAATTGAGAGAAAAGAATTGCAAAAGACATCATATGTGATAAATGACTGGTACCCAAAGTACATAAAGAACTTTTGAAACTCAACAATAAGAAAATGAACAACCCAATTTAAAAAATGGGCAAAAGACCTGAATAGATACCTCATCAAAGAAAGTATATAAATGGAAAATAAGCATATGAAAAAAATATTCAACACTGTATGTCACAGGGAATTGAAATTAAAACAACAAGATACCATCACATATCTTTAACACACTAGAAATCAAAACACTGACAACACCAAATCCTGGCAATGATGTGGAACATCAGGAACTCTTATTCTTTGCTGGCAGGAAAACAAAATGGCACAGTCACTGTGGAAGACAGTGTGGCAGCTTCTTATAAGACTAAACATACTTTTACCAGGCAATCCAGCAATTGTGCTTTGTGGTATTTAACCAAATGAGTAAAAACTTTATGTCCACACAAAACCTTTACACAAATGTTTATAGTAGCTTTATTCATAGTTGCCAAAACTTAGAAGCAAGAGAGATTTCCTTCAATGGGTGAATGGATAAACAAACTATGTTATATACATACAATGGAATATTACTCAGTGATAAAAAGAAATGAGCTATCAAGCCATGAAAAGACATGAAGGAAACTTAAGTGTATATTATGAACTCAATGAAGCCAATCTGAAAAGGCTACAAAACTGTATGATTCCAACTATATGACATTCTGGAAAAGGCAAAACTATGGAGACAGTAAAAAGATCAGTGGTTGCCAGGGGTTTAGCAGGTAGGAAGGGATAAATAAGCAAAGTGCAAATGATATTTAAGGCAGTGAAATTATTCTGTATGCTACTGTAATGGTGGGTATATGTCATTATACATTTTTTAAAACTTATAGAATATAAAACACAAAGAGTGAACACTAATGTAAACTGAGGAATTTAGTAAATAATAATGTAATAATCTTGGCTCATCAATTGTAACAAACAATTTTACTACACTGATGCATGATGAAAATAACAGGGGAAACAGCTGGGGAGCTATAAAGTACATGGGAGTACATGGGAACTCTATGTACTTTCCATTCAACTTTTCTGTAAACCTAAAACTGATCTAAAAAATAAAGTCTGTTAATTAATCAAACTAATAGGCCCTTAAACAGTACTTTCATCATCTTACTCACTTGTTAAAATGTATCATATTTATACTCCGTCTGACTTTCAAGGATTTTGTAATCTTCCATTTTATCAGTTCAGCATTATTTTAATTATTTCTAAGAGATATCCTCCATTGTAAGAATTTAGAATATATGCCTCATGTCCCCCATAAATAAATCATATTCATCCTGAATATATTCTTTCATTGTTGCTGTTTTTTCTTTGAAATTCGTTCATCTCCCTTCTGCTGATCTAATGATCCTACACCTTAAGATTATTCTCTCCCATAAAAACATCCCCAAAGACCCTAGCTTTTAGTAACCTTCTTCTCTCATTATAATTACAGTTTATACCACAAAATAAATGGCTACACTATATCTTCTACAGGCTGCTATGGTCCTCATAGGTAACAGTGCTCTCAACTAGATGGTAAGTTTATTATGATGTATATTGCAGAGTGGCAGAATCTGCCATCCCCTAATATGTCACTTTGGAAGAATTATCTTGAGCTAAGGGCACGTGAAAAACAGCAGGTACAGGAAGAGTGCTCTGACTTCCCCTTTTCCTCCTGAAAGCAGGAATAAAACTCTCATGTGAAAGATGCTCTCCCTACACCAGGAAGAAAAAAACATTCTTATCACCAGAGACAAGAAGTAGAGGCTGAGAGAAATCTGTACAAACAGACCTTGTTAAAAGAACTCATCTTCTTTACCTCCCCACATATTTTAGTTACACTTCCACAGCTGCCTCTCTTTGTTCAACCAAGTATAAAAACATTTAGGTTTCACCACTTCTTTGGGTCTTCACTTCCTTATGAAAGCTCCCATGTCACATAAATCCTGCATTAAATAAACGGGTATCCTTTCATCCTGTTAATCTGCCTTATGTCAATTTAATTTTAAGGCCCAACCAAAGACACTACGAGGGCAGAGCTAAACTTTTATTTCCCCTACAATATTCTTAAGTTTTACCCACAGCATTTTAGGAATTAACAGAAGCTTATTAATGGACTGAGTCCTAGGATATTATTTCAGCTTTTCTGGTAATCCAAGAATACTTGTATAATAATGATTGTATCCTCAAGAACAAAGAGAAAATGACATGCTAAGATCAGGAAACTCCCTTGAAAACTCAAGACATTAAATGTTTAAAGGTTTCTTAAGTTACCTATCAGACTTACACCTTGCAAGAGTAGCCAAACATTGAAAATATAATACATATAATACTGATAAAAAAGATATCAGTAACTTCTATAAAAATATCACATGATCTGATGCATTGATATTAAAAAAAAAAAACCAAAAAACTAGAACACTAACATACTTTGGGAAGGCAGAAAGGCTCCAATGGCATTAAAGACATTACTAAAGTTCATACAGTCATGCAATATGTAACATCTAATGTTACATGCCATAGGTGACACATCTGGTTTCTTGATCATAAGTATCAGTACCCCCATGAGCTATCTGTATTCAAAGTCAAGGTAAGAACCTTTACACTGACATGGGGTAGATTTAATCTACTGCTTAGAATCCCTACTTGCTGCACAACAATTTCAATAGGTTGATAAGTGTGGGAGAATGATTGGTATTACTATTCCACAGCATTTGCCATAAACTGGGCTAAAGTAAACAGGGTGGAAAGGAAAAATTCTGAAACATGAGAGAATATTATCAAAATATTAGACATAGTTATAGACTACTGGGAAATTAAGTATTCAGAAATGGCATAGTCAGGAGTATCATTCCCAAGCCCGAGAAGCTCCTATTACACATCAGTCTTTTCAATCATATAAAGATGGCAAATGTCAATGTATTGCTATAAACATGACTAATAATAGCAAATTTTCACACAAGGCATTATTAATATCAACTTTAGTTTAGGTTGGCTTAAATTTTTAATGAGAAACTTACCTTACAGAACTTGACTTCTGCCTCTAAATGATGAATGTATTGAGACTGGTCACTGATGATGGGAACAAAATTGTGTAGGGCAGGCATATCAGTTTCCTCATATTCTGATGATTTCTAAGGCAAAAATAAAAACAAATGAAGAATGTTTGGATTTAGCAAAGAATCATTTAATACCATCTCCATACTCAATTTAGCACTGATGTCATATAAACATAGTATAAACATAGACTAGGGAGATTGCTTCAAGATGGCAGAGTAGAAGGACATGCACTCACTCCCTCTTGCAAGAGCACCGGAATCACAACTAACTGCTGAAAAATCATCCACAGGAAGACACTGGAACTCACCAAAAAAGATACTCCACATCCAAAGACAAAGAACAAGCTGCAATGAGACAGTAGGAGGGACGCAATCACAATAATACCAAATCCCATAACCATGGGGTGGGGGACTCACAAACGGGAGAACACTTATACCACAGAAGTCCATCCACTGGAGTGAAGGTTCTGAGCCCCACGTCAGGCTTCCCAACCTGGGGTTCCAGCAATGGGAGGAGGAATTCCCAGAGATCCAGACTTTCAAGGCTAGCAGGATTTGACTGCAGGACTTCGACAGGACTGAGGGAAACATAGAATACACTCTTGGAAGGCACACACAAAGTAGTGTGCATCAGGACCCAGGGGTAGGAGCAGTGACCCCACAGGAGACTGAACCAGACCTACCTGCTAGTGTTGGAGGGTCTCCTGCAGAGGCAGGGGGTGGCTGTGGCTCACTGAAGGGACAAGGACACTGGCAGCAGAAGTTCTGGGAAGTACTCCTTGGCATGAGCCCTCCCGGAGTCTGCCATTAGCCCCACCAAAGAGCCTGTAGCCCCCACTGCTGGGTCGCCTCAGACCAAACAACCAACAGGGAGGGAACTCAGACCCACCCATGAGCAGACAAGCGGATTAAAGTTTTACTGAGTTCTGCCCACCAGAGCAACACCCAGTTCCACCCACCACCAGTCCCTCCCATCAGGAAGCCTGCACAAGCCTCTTAGACTCATCCACCAGAGGGCATACAGCAGAAGCAAGAAGAACTACAATCCTGCAGCCTGTGGAATGAAAACCACATTCACAGATAGACAAAATGAAAAGGCAGAGGACTATGTACCAGATGAAGGAACAAGATAAAACCCCAGAAAAACAACTAAACAAAGTGGAAATAGGCAACCTTCCAGAAAAAGAATTCAGAATAATCATAGTGAAGGTGATCCAGGACATCAGAAAAAGAATGGAGGCAAAGATCAAGAAGATGCAAGAAATGTTTAACAAAGACCTATAAGAATTAAAGGACAAACATCTAGAAGAATTAAACAACAAAAAACAGAGATGAATAATATAATAACTGAAATGAAAAACACACTAGAAGGAATCAATTGAAGGAAAACTGAGACAGAAGAACAGATAAGTGACCTGGAAGACAATGATGGAATTCACTGCCATTGAACAGAATAAAGAAAAAAGAATAAAAAGAAATGAAGACAGCCTAAGAGACCCTTGGGACAACATTAAATGCACCAACATTTGCATTATAGGGGTTCCAGAGGAGAAGAGAGAGAGAAACGACCTGAGAAAATATATGAAGAGATTATAGTGGAAAACTTCCCTAACATGGAAAAGGAAACACCCAGGTCCTGCAAGCGCAGAGTCCCAGGCAGGATAAACCAAAGGAGAAACACACTGAGACACACAGTAATCAAATTGACAAAAATTAAAGACAAAGAAAAATTATTAAAAGCAAAAAGGGAAAAACAACAAATAACATACAAGGGGAGCTTCCCTGGTGGCACAGTGGTTAAGAATCTGCCTGCCAATTCAGGGGACATGGGTTCAAGCCCTGGTCTAGGCAGATCCAACATGCTGTGGAGCAGCTAAGCCCATGCGCCACAACTACTGAGCTGGCACTCTAGAGCCCTCAAGCCACAACTACTGAGCCCTCATGCTACAAATACTGAAGCCCACATGCCTAGAGCCTGTGCTCTGCAAGAAGAGAAGCCACCACAAGAAGCCCGCACACAGTGAAGAGTAGTCCCCGCAGACCGCAACTAGAGAAAGCCCGCATGCAGCAATGAAGACCCAATGCAGCCAAAAAAACCAAAAAAAAAAGAAAAAAAAACCACACAAGGGAACTCCCATAAGGTTAACAGCTGATTTCTCAACAGAAACTCTACAAGCCAGAAAGGAGTGGCAAGATATACTTAAAGTGATTAAAGGGAAGAAACTACAACCAAGATTACTCTACCTAGCAAGGATCTCACTCAGATACTCTACCTAGCAAGGATCTCACTCAGGAGAAGAAAAGGACCTATTAAGAAAATGGTAATAGGAACATACATATCAATAATTACCTTAAATGTGAGTGGATTAAATGCTCCAACCAAAACACACAGATTGATTGAATGGATACAAAAACAAGACTAGTATATATGCTGTATACAAGAGATGCACTTCAGACCTAGGGACACATAGAGACTGAAAGTGAGGGGATGGAAAAAGATATTCCATGAAAATGGAAATCAAAAGAAAGCTGGAGTAGCAACACTTGTATCAGATCAAAAGACTTTAAAATGAAGAATGTTACAAGAGACAAGAAAGGACACTACATAATGATCAAGGGATCAATCCAAGAAGAAGATATAGCAATTATAAATATATATGCACCCAACATAGAAGCACCTCAATACATAAGCAAATGCTAATGGCTATAAAAGAGGTAATTGACAGTAACACACTAATATTGAGGGACTTTAACATCACACATACACCAATGGACAAATAATCCAGACAAAAAATTAATAAGGAAACACAAGCTTTAAATGACACAATAGACCAGTTAGATTTAATTGATATTTATAGGACATTCCATCCAAAAACAACAGTATACACTTTCTTCTCAAGTGCATATGGAATATTGTCCAGGATAGATCACATCTTGGGTCACAAATCAAGCCTTGGTAAATTTAAGAAAATTGAAATCATATCAAGCATCTTTTCCTACCACAACACTATGAGATTGGAAATAAATTACAGGGAAAAAACATAAAAAACACAAACATATGGAGGCTAAACCATATGTTACTAAATAACCAAGAGATCACTGAAGAAATCAAAAAGGAAGTTAAAAAACACCTACAGATACATGACAATGAAAACACGATGATCCAAAACAGATGGGATGCAGCAGAAGCGTTCTAAGAGGGAAGTTTATAGCAATACAATCCTACCTCAAGAAACAAGAAAAATCTCAAATAAACAATCTAACCTTACACCTAAAGGAACTAGAGAAAGAAGAACAAACAAAACCCAAAGTTAGTAGAAGGAAAGAAATCATAAAGATCAGAGCAGAAATAGAAACAAAGAAAACAATAGCAAAGATCAATAAAACTAATAGCTGGTTCTTTGAGAAGATGAACAAGATTGATAACCCTTTAGCCAGACTCATCAAGAAAAAGAGGGAGAAGACTCAAATTAATAAAATTAGAAACGAAAAAGGAGAACTTACAACAGACACTGCAGAAATACAAAGCATCATCAAAGACTAGTACAAGCAAAAGTATGCTAATAAAATGGACAACCTGGAAGAAATGGACAAATTCTTAGAAAAGCACAAACTTCTGAGACTGAACCAGAAGAAACAGAAAATATGAACAGACCAATCACAAGTAATGAAATTGAAACTGTGATTTAAAATCTTCCAACAAACAAAAGCCCAGGACCAGATGGCTTCACAGGTAAATACTATCATACATTTAGAGAAGAGCTAACACCTGTCCTTCTCAAACTCCTCCAGAAAACTGCAGAGGAAGGAACACTCCCAAACTCATTCTACAAGGCCACCATCACTCTGATACCAAAACCAGACAAAGATACTACAAAAAAAGAAAATTACAGACCAATATCACTGATGAACATAGATGCAAATATCCTCAACAAAATACTAGCAAACAGAATCCAACAACACATTAAAAGGAACATACACGGTGATCAAGTGGGATTTATCCATGGATGCAAGGATTCTTCAATATACTCAAATCAATGTGATATACCATATTAACAAACTGAAGAATAAAAACCATATGATCATCTCAATAGATGCAGAAAAAGCTTAAGACAAAATTCAACACCCATTATGATAAAAACTCTCCAGAAAATGGGCATAGAGGGAAACTACCTCAACATAATAAAGGCCATATATGACAAACCCACAGCAAACATCATTCCTGATGGTGAAAAACTGAAAGCATGTCCTCTAAGATCAGGAACAAGACAAGGATGTCCACTCTTGCCACTATTATTCAAGATAGTTTTGGAACTCCTAGCCATGGCAATCAGAGGGAAAAAAAGAAATAAAAGGAATACAAATTGGAAAAGAAGAAGTAAAACTGTCAGTGTTTGCAGAGGACATGATACTGTACATAGATAATCCTAAAAATACCACCAGAAAACTACTAGAGCTAATCAGTGAATTTGGTAAAGTTGCAGGGTACAAAATTAATGCACAGATCTCTTGCATTTCTACACACTAACAATGAAAGATCAGAAAGAGAAATTAAGGAAACAATCGCATTCACCATTGCAACAAAAGGAAAATACCTAGGAATAAACCTACCTAAGGAGACAAAAGACCTGTATGCAGCAAACTATAAGACACTGATGAAAGAAATTAAAGATGATACAAACAGATGGAGAGATATACCATGTTCTTGGATTGGAAGAATCAACATTGTGACAATGACTGTACTACCCAAAGCAGTCTACAGAGTCAATGCAATCCTTATCAAATTAGCAATGGCAATTTTTTACAGAACTAGAACAAAAAATCTTAAAATTTGTATGGAGACACAGAAGACCCCAAATAGCCAAAGCAATCTTGAGGGGAAAAAAACGTAGCTGGAGGAATCAGACTCCCTGACTTCAGACTACACTACAAAGCTACAGTAATCAAGACAATATGGTACTGGCACAAAAACAGAAATATAGATCAATGGAACAGGATAGAAAGCCCAGAGAGAAACCCATGCACCTATGGTCACCTAATCTCTGGCAAAGGAAGCAAGGATATACAATGGAGAAAAGACAGTCTCTTCAATAAGTGGTGCTGGGAAAACTGGACAGCTACATGTAAAAGAATGAAATTAGAACACTCCCTAACAAGATACACAAAAATAAACTCAAAATGGATTAAAGACCTAAATGTAAGACCGGACACTATAAAACTCTTAGAGGAAAACATAGGAAGAACACTGTTTGACATAAATCACAGCAAGATCTTTTTTGACCCACCTCCTAGAGTAATGGAAATAAAAACAAAAATAAACAAATGGGACCTAATGAAACTTAAAAGCTTTTGCGCAGCAAAGGAAACTATAAGCAAGACGAATAGACAACCCTCAGAATGGGAGAAAATATTTGCAAACAAATCAACGGACAAAGGATTAATCACCAAAATATATAAACAGCTCATGCAGTTCAATATTACAAAAACAAACAACCCAATCAAAATATGGTCAGAAGACCTAAATAGACATTCCTTCAAAGAAGATATACAGCATGCCAAGAGGCACATGAAAAGCTACTCAACGTCACTACTTATTAGAGAAATGCAAATCAAAACTGCAATGAGGTATCACGTCACACCGGTTAGAACGGGCATCATCATAAAATCTACAAACAACAAATGCTGGAGAGGGTGTGGAGAAAAGGGAACCCTCTTGCACTGTTGGTGGTAACGTAAATTGATACAGCCACTATGGAGAACAGTAAGGAGGTTCCTTAAAAAACTAAAAATAGAATTACCATATGGCCCAGCAATCCTACTACTGGGCGTATACCCAGAGAAACCCATAATTCAAAAAGACACACACACCCCAACGTTCATTGTAGCACTATTTACAATAGCCAGGTCATGGAAGCAACCTAAATGCCCATCGACAGACGAATGGATAAAGAAGATGTGGTACATATATACAATGGAATATTAGCCTTATAATGGAATGAAATTGGGTCATTTGTAGAGACGTGGATGGACCTAGAGACTGTCATACAGAGTGAAGTAAGTCAGAAAGAGAAAAACAAATATCGTATATTAAAACATATATGTGGAATCTAGAAAAATGGTACAGATGAACCGGTTTGCAAGGCAGAAATAGAGACACAGATGTAGAGAACAAATGTATGGACACCAATGGGGGGAAAGGGGGGTGATGAATTTGGAAACTGGGACAGTCATATATACACTAATATGTATAAAATAGATAACTAGTAAGAATCTGCTGTATAAAAAATAATTTACAAAAACATAGACTAGATCACAATGTCGCTAATAGTATTTATTTCTTCACCTATAAATTCCACAAATAGATAAGAATGAGGGATATGAATATCATTTTTTAAAGATGGACAGTGAAAGTGGTTGTAAAAAGCATATGGCAAATGGCAAAATGCTGGAGTAGTATAATTGGCTGGGATGAACTGCCTATTTGAGCCATCTGAAAATGTGATATCCTATTCAGTAATTCTGAGATAAAGGGACAGCTCTTCAAGAAACCACCATAGAAGAGGACTGCTAGCTAAAATTGCAGAACAAGCTGCCTGAAGGAGGGATTCTTTAGACAAATGTGCCAAATGTGTGTCAGTAAGGTAAAATTCTCTCTACTAAGGAGTACGTTAGCAAAACCTGATTTTTTATTTTTGACCCTAGTACTCAAGGCAATTTGAGACTCTGCTGTTCTGGAGCCTCCAAGACTAGAGTGCCAAAGCAGATACGTACAAAAACTGAGATACGCTGCACTGAGGACTCAATGAAGAGACGTCATAAAAAGTGTTAATTCTCTTTACTTCTGCAGCAGTCCTGGAATTGATTTTTTAATGTACACCTTACCTTATCCTAAAATGATTGTAAAATGGTTCATAAATCATACATCATACGATGATATTATTTAAAGAAAAGAGGAAGAGAGGAAAGGGAAAATGAGGTTCAACCAGTTAGATGAACCCAGAGGAAAGCTTGAGATGAGACACACAATCATTTTGTTTTTCAATCCAGCAGAAATTCCTATAAATGATGAAATACCAGCTCCCATGGCAGAATAATTCAGTAGAGCTTTGCTTCTGGGAATATTTAATAAATTTAAAAACCAAAGAGACTTTAATTAAATGAATTATCTGTGTTAAGTAGAAAGGAACTAATTATAATAATTAATATTAATAGAAAGGGGTTCGGTACATAGGCAAATATGAATTATTATTATGTGTATATAGGGGATAGTCAATGTGAAAATTAAAAACAAGCTTACGTCATATGGAAAATCTCCATATGAAATAACTTGTATATACTTTGAAGGGTTTATTATAATCTAGATGTCCACATTTTAAAATAACAAGTAATAATGTTTAGACATTTTCTATCTCAACACTGCCTCAGTTTCACTATCAATACAGCCACATATTTTTCATATGTCATATTGGCTATGAAACTGCATTCTAAAGGGTAACGTCTTCAAAAGCTACTTATTATGGTTATGGCTTATAATCATCACATGTAGGTCATATACATTTAGAGTCTAAGTTCCATTCTTTCACATAGCACCAATACAAATAGACCTGCGTATTGGTATATACAACTGATGATTTTGATGAGAGTCTTCTTGCCTATTTGAAGTCAATAAGTTTTGTAATATCACTGCTCAGTTTTACCTTTAAAATGCTAATAAGCATGTCTAAGCATTCAACAGATATAGCAACTTAATCTACTAGACTTAAAAGTACTCCATCCAAAAAAAAAAAAAAAAAAAAAGTACTCCATCCATGTGTGCTTAAGAGCATTCTAGAAACTAGGTGTCAACAGTAATAAATTCACTGAATGATGAAGTATTTTTTTAAAATTATAATTTATACCTATAAATATTGAATAGGAGTATGTAGTACATTTCTCTAAAGTGGGAATTAAACATGAAAGTATGTGTCAGGCTGGAATGAAGTGTTAATATAAGGGTACTTTTATGACATTTCAGCTGTGAGTAAAGGAAACTGACATGTCTCCAAGTTTCCAGCATGTAGCCTTGGTATCCAACTGTTACAGATACTGAAAATGCAAGGTGGTTATTGTTGCTATGACATTTTATATTTGTGTCATACTTCATAGGTTTCTAAAGAATTTTAAATATATGATCTTATCTTATTATTACAAAAACCCTGTGAGAAAGTACATAATAGACCCTAGATAGACCTAAAGCCTAGATTATTATTTTGACCATTTAAACCTGGCCAAATCCTTCCCTCACATATACCCTTTCCCCCACAGTACCCTTCCTTCACAGTACCCTTCCCTCACACCCACCCTGTCCTCACACCTATCTCAGGCTTTATATCACATTGCTTCAGTCAGAAATAATACACTCCGTCAAAGCAACAGCAATAGAAAACAGCTTCAGAAGAAGCAGAGTACAGCTTCTCGTATCACACAATTTTATAACCATATATTTTAAAATTTAGAATAAGATTACATAAAAGAGTAAAACAAAGGACTGCTAGAATTAAACAGTAAATTCTAAAAATAATAAAATATAGATATGCCCCTCTAAAAAAGCAATGGTTAATCTTTTCCATATATTGTTTCTTTTTTATATTTGCTAACAGTTGCAAAGTAAATTCTCCAAACTATTTCCTCACTCACATTTTTCAAGTAAAAAATAAATTAAAAAATCAGAATTCTCTCTGCCATGGAAGTCTCTCTTCTTCAGCCAAAATAATCAGAGGGAAAATAATTTCTTTTAACGTTTTACACTATTAGCAGGCCCTGCTCAGAATCTGTTTACAATATGTACTACTAAAATGACACAGTAAAATTAAAACATAGTTAGAAAAATAATGCTTTTGTCAGGTTGCAAAAGCTGATACTTACCAAAGGGGACAATTTTCGTCTTCTTGGAGATACCTCACTTTCCTTAGTTGCTTGTTGGCATAGCAAAGCTTTGAGTTGATTAACTATGGAGCAAAAGCGATGGGTTTATTCACCTTATTTTAGATCCATGGTTTATTATCACCCATCTATCCATCCATCGATCTAACAAATATTGTTTAAATATGTATTATGCACCACAAAATGTGCTACTGCCTGGGGACACAAAGACAAACAAGAAAACCTCTACCACTTAAGAGCTAAGAATCTTGCTTGTGAGCAAGAGGGATATAACTAACAGGTATAAAACTATATAATAAGTTCTAGGTAGACCTAGAGCTATGCATAGTGCTATGAAGAGGAAGCACATAATTGTTTTCACAGAGAAGACAATACGGTGAAGGATAAACAGGAGATTAGTGAGCAGAAAAGGGTGAGAAAAAATCCAGTTAGAATGCGTGGCTCATGCAAAGCACAGAAGCACGGCCATAGGTTGGTACGATTAGACCATGGCTTGAAAGATGGACAGTTGAAAGGAAAACAGAAAAATGAGGCTAAAGAGGCAGCTTGGATTCATCATAAGGAAATACTGCTACGACATCCTATAGGCATTGCGAAGTCAAAGAAAAAAAAATAAGCAAGGGAATTAGATTAGCTGATTTGTGTTTCTCGACTAAAATCCTAGCAGTAAAGGATAGACTGGAGTCATTACTGTACAGAGTTTAAAGAATTCACTGTGTGTCATTCAGGTCAGGACTGATGTTCACACTCACCAGCATGGCTGTGTTGCAGTTCATGCCAGGCATTCCCAGCATCCTCATTTCCTACACTGGTACTAAAAGAAGGATCCATTACGTCTTCTCCAATAGTGACATCACCTTCTCTCAGGGCACATTTCAATTGGTGAATGCTTCTACTGGCACGTTCTGTAACAACATGATGAAAATCAGGGCCAGTGAAATCTGGGCGACCAAAGGTACACTGACTCAAGAAGACAATTTCTAAAGGAAAAGCAATCATTTCTGATTTCATGGGGAAAAAAGCATAGTTTTGTTTCTAGCTTGCTGAGGAACATGCCAGAGGAAGTACGAGATTAAGTTCATGGGTTAGAAGTTAGACTTGATGATCTTTAAGGTCTCTGACACCTCAGTGATTGATATTCACTATATATAGCTCTATTGCTGAGGAGGACTGAATGGGAGAGCTTCTCCCCCCTCCACTCCTCCAAACAACAGCCTCACAGGGAAAGCACTATCCTAACCCCTCAATGCCTAAGACTCCCCTACCCCTTCTGGAGAGGGGTGGGTGGGCAAAACTGGCAAAAGGGACACCACCACACCAAGTTCCTGCCCAAGGAGGCCTCCTTGTCCCTGTAGGCCAGATGTCCCTCTAGCAGCAAGAGACATATGACTACCTGGCCTAGTTTTGATCAAGATTTGAACAGCTGACGCGCTTATAGCGGCAGCCTCTCTAGTATAGTCGTACTTACGTACTGCTGGCTGACTACATCTTACATGGAAATTCTTGGTTAGTGTACCTGACTACCCCTAGAATTGAAGCTTAAACTCACTAGCACATACTTAACATAAATAGTCTAAAATGAAGTATTTTAAGGTATATTATTCTAGTAGTTCATCTCTAAAAATAGCCCCCAAAGGACCCAGCCTCACATCCTTGCCCTCTCCCAGGTTGAAACTCAGTGGGCCTGTAACCTGCACTAACCAAGAGAATGCAATGGAAGGCACACCACGCCAGACCAGTCACATCTTTAAAACATCTGGTAGCTTCTGCTTCTACCTTCTCGGAACTCTGGTTTTTGTAAACCCCAAGCCAAACAAAGTAGGAAATCTGGCTACCTTGCTGGAGAGATTGTGAAGAGGCCATGTGGAAAGGAAAGCCCCTGAGACCACCACAGGGAGAAGGAGAGAAGCCCAGCCCCACTAACAGCCCAGTGGTCTCCTGATGACTCCAGCGCCAGAGGCCATCCACCTACAATGGCATGAAAGACACCCAAAAACTGCCCAGCTTGAGTCCAATTAACCCACAGATCTGTGAGAGATACTACAAATGCTTTTCTTTGTTGCTTCCTGCCATCAAGCTTTAGAGTGTCTTGTTAAGCAGCAATAGATAACTGAAATAATAATTCTGTGAAATATTTACCCAAAAACATCTTCAGCAAAGGATCGAAGTCTTACATTAATAACAGAACTATACTAATATAGTAATATTATACTGTACTATATGTTAATACTATACTATAATAATATACTAATGACACTGGTGATGACATTACTAATAATTCTACCCCATTTTATGGATATTTTACATGTATGACAACTGGAGAACCAGGCAATCAATTGGTAATTTCATTAATTAAAGTCCAGTTACTTCTTCAGGTTTAAACTTGTTATTTCTGCTAATCTCTTATGATTAAATTCCCCAGTTCCAATCTAGAAAACATTAACTATAACAAAAAAATGTTCCTTGTACATTAGAGCTGAAACCCAGATTTCACTCATCATTTTCAAATTTTGACATCTGTATTTGAAAGTTATTTTTAATTCATAAATTTACCAAATATTTACATATATCTAACATAGAAATTTATGTTAGAAAAAGATGAATTCCTATGCAAGTTCATGTATAGCTATTATCTATTTCATATGGATTCTATCTAAATAATTCTTAAGATTTTCAGAGGAGATCTTTTTTTTGCGGTACGCGGGCCTCTCACTGCTGTGGCCTCTCCCGCTGCGGTGCACAAGCTCCGAACGCGCAGGCTCAGCGGCCATGGCTCACGGGCCCAGCGGCTCCGCGGCATATGGGATCTTCCCGGACCAGGGCATGAACCCGTGACCCCTGCATCGGCAGGCAGACTCTCAACCACTGCGCCACCAGGGAAGCCCAGAGGAGATCTTTTTCTAAGTAAAAACTTTCTCTAATTCAGAGCAACACATAACAATGATGCCAATGAAGTTCTCTCTTTCTTCTGACCAAGGCCCTTCCTTGACAATTATATCTATTTCGTCTTGTGTACTCAGGAGAAAAAGCTCCTATTCCTTGTTACCTACATGGGAACCCTAAAAAAGCTATAAAACAGCTATCTTTTCATTACCAATCATGGATGGAAATATATTTATAAACATATATTCTACAGGACCTTGAAACATAGATTATACTTCCTCCAAGCTCATTAATTTAAGTTTGAAACCAGAAAAAAATAACCATAACTTAATAGAAAAAAAATATTCTCTATCTTACAAAATCTCTAATATAGGTTCTCTGCTTACAGCAACTCATTTTCTACCTTGATTAAACTAAAGAAAGCAGGTCTTTTAGGTCAGGGTTCAACAGTGAAATTCTACTACTAACTACACAAGAGACCCAGGGAATTTACCACTACAATTTTCTCCACGTCAATCATGTTTCCACGCAGACCTTTCTCTGACTGGAATTTGGAATTGATAACTAACCAAGCCTGGTCTCCTTTTACTCCTCATGAGTTTAAAGAGTCCAGATAAGATGCATTCCTGGTTTTAGTAAAATGAGAAGCAGCAAAAATAGTTTTTCAATAACTCAGTATTTTCTAAAGAGACTTGTTAAAAAGGAAAATCAAAGTGTTACTTGATAAGCAATTTAGTTCACAGAACATTAGACTTAATGCACTGAAATCTATGAATAAAGCACTTATCCTTACTGCATCCATTAAAAGGAAAGAGAGGGTTTGAATTACACTATAAGTGTGCTCTGTGGAGCCATCAAATGACTTCATCTATAAGACAAAGGATAATTATTTATTTATACCTAATCCGACTAAAAGCTAATAAGTGATATTAGGAAAAGGAAAGGAAATCTGAAAAAAATTGTGTAGTTGTAAATCCTTATAGGTAGACTTCTTTCATTAACTTACAATGATGGCAGAGCTTTATGAGCGCATTTAATCCCTTTCCTAATATTGTTTAATCTTTTAGAATTTTTAACATTCAAAGACCATGTGTTAAATTGCACTATGAAAATAGTATTATGTGAAATAGTAATATATTGAACTCAACAACCATCCCAAAGAAAAGTGATTACACAAGGTTAGGGGTTTTTTGCAACGAGTGACTTTAGTTGTTAGTATCAGAGATGAAGACAAGGAATTTCTAAGAACTGTGTCTTAAAACTAAAACTAAGGAGGTAAGTGATATTTTAAAGTCATTTCAATACTACATTTCTAAACATGGTCCATGTTTTTCAAATATATACATACTAACATAATTATACACTGCAACAGACAAACAGAATTAATCCTGAGGAATAACAACACTCAGATCTTTCAAGACAGACAAAACCGCACTTCTCTTCAACTGGAGCCACTGCAACTGAAGGCCCCATAATCCTTATTAAGAACACTGTTCCCCAGATGCAGTTATCTGCTGCTTTCATATAAGGAAACCAGATTAGACAGGAGGTTCCAGTTATGGTTTCCTATCCCACTGTTAATGGGCACAGCTTTATCTGTCTATAAATGAGAGATGGAAAGAATACTCATTTCCTCTTCTCTCCTGAGAGGACAGTAAGACATTTCACAATACATCCTGGTTTCTTCTCTCCAGCACCAACTATGGGCTGAATATAAACTTAATTACATTCTGCTAATTTTGGGGGGTTTTTGTTCTTCTTTCTCTAACGGCTTTAGGTGTAAGGTTAGGCTGTTTATTTGAGATTTTTCTTGTTTCTTGAGGTAGGATTGTATTGCTATAAACTTCCCTCTTAAAACTGCTTTTGCTGCATCCCATAGGTTTTGGGTTGGTTTGGGTTTTGTATTCATTGTCATTTGTTTCTAGGTATTTTTGATTTCCTCTTTGATTTCTTCTAGTAGCGTATTGTTTAGCCTCCATGTGTTTGTATTTTTTACAGTTTTTTTTTCCTGTAATTGATATCTAGTCTCATAGCGTTGTGGTTGCAAAAGATACTTGATATGATTTAAATTTTCTTAAATTTACCAAGGTTTAATTTGTGACCCAAGATATGATCTATCCTGGAGAATGTTCCATGAGCACTTGAGAAGAAAGTACATTCTGTTGTTTTGGATGGAATGTCCTATAAACTACCAATGGCATTTTTCACAGAAGTAGAACAAAAAATTTCACAATTTGTACAGAAACATGAAAGACCCCGAAGAGCCAGAGCAATCTTGAGAAAGAAACACAGAGCTGGAGGAATCAGGCTCCCTGACTTCAGACTATGCTACAAAGCTACAGTAATCAAGACAGTATGGTACTGGCACAAAAACAGAAATATAGATCAACGGAACAGGATAGAAAGCCCAGAGATAAACCCACACACATATAGTCACCTTATTTTTGATAAAGGAGGCAAGAATATACAATGGAGAAAAGACAACCTCTCCAATAAGTGGTGTTGGGCAAACTGGACAGCTACATGTAAAAGAATGAAATTAGAACACTCCCTAACACTGTATACAAAAATAAACTCAAAATGGATTAAAGACCTAAATGCAAGGCCAGACACTATAAAACTCTTAGAGGAAAACATAGGCAGAACACTCTATGACATAAATCACAGCAAGATCCTTTTTGACGCACCTCCTAGAGAAATGGAAATAAAAATAAACAAATGGGACCTAATGAAACCTAAAAGCTTTTGCACAGCAAAGGAAACCATAAACAAGACAAAAAGACAACCCCCAGAATGGGGGAAAATATTTGTAAATGAAGCAACTGACAAAGGATTAATCTCCAAAATATGCAAGCAGCTCATGCAGCTCAATATCAAAAAAACAACCCATCCAAAAATGGGCAGAAGACCTAAATAGGCATTTCTCCAAAGAAGATATACAGATCGCCAACAAACACATGAAAGGATGCTCAACATCACTAGTCATTAGAGAAATGTAAATCAAAACTACAATGAGGTATCA